TCTTTTACAACCCCTCTCGTTTTCTCCCACTCAGTTGATAAGCTTGCTTCCTGTATCACTGACAAAATAGACATGGTCAAAAGAGAGGTCCACATGCTCCCACCATGTTGTCTCCCCACCTTTCTGATCTCTGTGGAACCTTCTCTCTAACTGTGCGTGATGTCCCCCTGCTCTCATGCTTTTCTGTTCCCTTGCACAGAGTGAGTTCTCTTCTGCATTGATAGGTCATCCCTCTCTTTTGAATTATTCCTACGGTACCCAAGCAGGAGAAAGGATTTTTGTTTGTTTTGATAGTTTTTGTAGCCCTAGCACCTAGAACAGTGCCCTGATCATGGTAGTCGCTCAGCATATATGTCTTGAATAAATGAAGTAATATTTCCCATCTTTTAAAACAAAGTTTTATTTTGAAGTAATTCCAAACTTAATGTGCAGAGATTTCCATATATGCCTAATCCAGCTTCCCCTAAGTAAGTCCCAAATTTAAAAAAAACCAACAACCTCCCTTTTTCTAATTTCTCATTTCTCTGCTTCCTTTTAAAACACAACCCCTTAAATGTATTTTCTGAGTTAGCTATTCCCATCTCCTTCCACTCTCTCTCTCTTTTTTTTTTTTTGGCTTTCCATTTTATTTATTTATTTTATTTTTTATACAGCAAGTTCTTATTAGTTATCTGTTTTATACATATTAGTGTATATGTGTCACTCTCAATCTCCCAGTTCATCCCATCACCACCACCACTGCCCCCCCAGTTTCCCCCCTTGGTGTCCATATGTTTGTTCTCTACATCTGTGTCTCTGTTTGTGCCTTGCAAACTGGTTCATCTGTACCATTTTTCTAGATTCCACATATATGCGTTAATATACGATATTTGTTTTTCTCTTTCTGACTTCCTTGACTCTGTATGACAGTCTCTAGATCCATCCATGTCTCTACATATGACCCAATTTCGTTCCTTTATATGGCTGAGTAATATTCCATTGTATATATGTACTACATCTTCTTTATCCATTCACCTGTCGATTGGCATTTAGGTTGCTTCCATGACCTAGCTATTGTAAATAGTGCTGCAATGAACATTGGGGTACATGTGTCTTTTTTTTTTTTTTTTGTGGTACACGGGCCTCTCACTGTTGTGGCCTCTCCTGTTGCGGAGCACAGGCTCCGGACACGCAGGCTCAGTGGCCATGGCTCATGGGCCCAGCCGCTCCACGGCATGTGGGATCCTCCCAGACCAGGGCACGAACCCATGTCTCCTGCATCGGCAGGCAAACTCCCAACCACTGCGCCACCAGGGAAGCCCTACATGTATCTTTCTGAATTATGGTTTTCTCTGGGTGTATGCCCAGTAGTGGGATTATGGGTCATATGGTAATTCTATTTTTAGTTTTTTAAGGAACCTCCATACTGTTCTCCATAGTGGCTGTATCAATTTACATTCCCACCAGCAGTGCAGGAGGGTTCCCTTTTCTCCACACCCTCTCCAGCATTTGTTGTTTGTAGATTTTCTGATGATGCCCATTCTAACCGGTTTGAGGTGATACCTCATTATAGTTTTGATTTGCATTTCTCTAATAATTAGTGATGTTGAGCAGCTTTTCATGTGCTTCTTGGCCATCTGGATTTCTTCTTTGGAGAGATGTCTATTTAGATCTTCTGCCCATTTTTTGATTGGGTGGTTTGTTTTTTTAATATGGAGCTGCATGAGCTGTGTATATATTTTGGACATCAATCCTTTGTCTGTTGATTCATTTGCAAATATTTTCTCCCATCTGAGGATTGTCTTATCATCTTGTATGTAGTTTCCTTTGCTGTGCAAAAGCTTTGAAGTTTCATTAGGTCCCATTTTTTTATTTTTGTCTTTATTCCCATTACTCTAGGAGGTGGATCAAAAAGGATCTTGCTGTGATTTATGTCAAAGAGTGTTCTTCCTATGTTTTCCTCTAAGAGTTTTATAGTGTCTGGTCTTACATTTAGGTCTTTAATCCATTTTGAGTTTATTTTTGTGTATGGTGTTAGGGAGTGTTCTAATTTCATTCTTTACACGTAGCTGTCCAGTTTTCCCAGCACCACTTACTGGAGAGGCTGTCTTTTCTCCATTGTATATCCTTGCCTCCTTTGTCATAGATTAGTTGACCATAGGTGCATGGGTTTATTTCTGGGCTTTCTCTCCTGTTCCATTGATGTATATTTCTGTTTTTGTGCCAGTACCATATTGTCTTGATTACTGTAGCTTTGTAGTATAGTCTGATCCTTTTAATGTGCTGTTGGATTCTGTTTGCTAGTATTTTATTGAGGATTTTTGCATCTATATTCATCAGTGATATTGGTCTGTAATTTTCTTTTTTTGTAGTATCTTTGTCTGGTTTTGGTGTCAGGGTGATGGGATCCTTGCCACGTAGAGTAATATTGGTTGTAGGTTCTTACCTTTCATCACTTTAAATATATCATACCACTCCCTTCTGGCTTGTAGAGTTTCTGCTGAGAAATCAGCTGTTAACCTTATGGGAGTTCCCTTGTGGGTTATTTGTCATTTTCCCTTTGTTGCTTTCAATAATTTTTCTTTGTCTTTTATTTTTGTCAGTTTGATTACTGTGTGTCTCGGCATGTTTCTCCTTGGGTTTATCCTGCCTGGAACTCTCTGCGCTTCCTGGACTTGGGTGGCTATTTCCTTTCCCATGTTAGGGAAGTTTTTGACTATAATCCCTTCAAATATTTTCTTTGGTCCTTTCTCTCTCTCTTCTCCTTCGGGGACCCCTATAATGTGAATGTTGTTGTGTTTAATGTTGTCCCAGAGATCTCTTAGGCTGTCTTCATTTCTTTCCATTCTTTTTTCTTTATTCTGTTCCACAGCAGTGAATTCCACCATTCTGTCTTGCAGGTCACTTATCCGTTCTTCTGCCTAAGTTATTCTGCTCTTGATTCCTTCTAGTGTATTTTTCATTTCAGTTATTGTATTGTTCATCTCTGTTTGTTTGTTCTTTTATTCTTCTAGGTCTTTGTTAAACGTTTCTTGCATCTTGATCTTTGCCTCCATTCCCCCCCCTCCCGACGTCCTGGATTATCTTCACTGTCATTATTCTGAATTCTTTTTCTGGAAAGTTGCCTATGTGCACTTCATTTAGTTGTTTTTCTGGGGGTTAATCTTGTTCCTTCATCTGGTACGTAGTCTTCTGCCTTTTCATTCTGTCTGTGAATGTGGTTTTCGTTCCACAGGCTGCAGAATTATAGTTCTTCTTGCTTCTGCTGTCTTCCCTTTGGTGGATGAGGCTATCTAAGAGGCTTCTGCAAGCTTCCTGATGGGTGGGACTGGTGATGGGTAGAGCTGGGTGTTGCTCTGGTGGACAGAGCTCAGTAAAACTTTAATCCGCTTGTCTGCTGATGGGTGGGGCTGGGTTCCCTCCCTGTTGGTTGTTTGGCCTGAGGCGACCCAGCACTGGAGCCTACCAGCTCTTTGGTAGGGCTAATGGTGGACTCTGGGAGGGCTCATACCAAGGAGTACTTCCCAGGACTTCTGCTGTCAGTGTCCTGTCCTCACAGTGAGCCACAGCCACCCCCCGCCTCTGCAGGAGACCCTCCAACACTAGCAGGTAGGTCTGGTTCAGTCTCCTATGGGATCACTGCTCCTTCCCCTGGGTCCCGATGCGCACACTACTTTGTGTGTGCTCTTCAAGAGTGGAGTCTCTGTTTCCCCCAGTCCTGTTGAAGTCCTGCACTCAAATCCCGCTAGCCTTCAAAGTCTGATTCTCCGGGAGGAATTCCTCCTCCCGGTGCCGGACCCCCAGGTTGGGAAGCCTGACGTGGGGCTCAGAGCCTTCACTCCAGTGGGTGGACTTCTGTGATATAAGTGTTCTCCAGTTTGTGAGTCACCCACTCAGCAGTTACGGGATTTGATTTTATTGTGATTGTGCCCCTCCTACCATCTCATTGCGGCTTCTCCTTTGTTTTTGAGTGTGGGGTATCTTTTTTGGTGAGTTCCAGTGTCTTCCTGTCGATGATTGTTCAGCAGTTAGTTGTGCTTCCGGTGCTCTCGCAAGAGGGAGTGAGCGCACATCCTTCTACTCTGCCAGCTTGAACCAATCTCCTCCTTCCACTCTCTCTGAAACCCACTCTTTTCACTCTTTTCAACCCTCCCTAGGAAAGAGAGCTCAGTTATATTTGCTGCTTTCATTTCAAGCAAAAGGCTTTTGCCCTTTCGCATTCCCAGCTCCACCAAAACAACTGTTTTCAACTATACTAATGACATTTATGATGGTAAATCCAGTGATCAGTTCTTGTTTGTCTCTTCTTTGACCTAGCAGTAGCATTTGACCCAATCGATTTCATCTTTCTTTCTCTCTCTTACTTTACTAGTCATTCCTTCTTGGACTTCTTTGTCTCTTCTCTTTTCTGTTCTCTGTACTCATTTTCTGGATGGTCTCGTCTCTGCTCATCTCTGCTCATCCCAAATGCTGATGACTCCTAAATATGTGTTTTTAGCCTTGATCTTGCCCTTGAACTCCAAATTTTTGTGTTCATTATCTACTTCTTGACCTGTTTATTAAACATGTTAGTAACAGAACTCTTCATTCACTGTTTGGAATATCAGGCTGTGCTTGCATTCTTCCTGTCTCAAAAAATGGTAAGTATACTCTTCTAGTGGCCATGCCCAAAACCTTGCAAATGTCCTGGACTTCCCGTCACTCACACTCACACAAATTTATTATCTTTTAATTTTTGCTATTTTTGAAGTTGTGGAATATAACACAGTTTGTGTGTGAACAAAAACTATTTCCCTGGTATCAAGTTTATACGATATGTATCTGATAAAAATCTACTTGGTACTAATATATTGGAAGAGTGAAAAATCCTTTGGTATAGCAAATATTTTTTTCAAATTAGATAGATTGTAAAAAATAGAACTCTGTATAAGGTGTTCACAATCTCTAACATTTTTGAACTTTTACTAGTATTTGAGAATTTATCCTGATAATTACGATTTTTAAATTTATATAACCTACAGGTGTGAAGCCTCTAGCCCACACATTCATCCAGTTGGTTGGTGTAAAGAACATCGAAGAACCCTTATTACTCCTCCAGGTTTGTGTTGATTATGGGTCTGCTGTTTGTTATGTCAATCTGAGTTTATTTTTATGTGCTAAAGAACAGATTCTGTGGCTTCATCATAAGGCAATGAGTTTTTGAGCATATCACTAATGTGCCGTGGCTACTGCTTATATGAAATGACGGGGTGGTTAGCTAACACAGAGCATCACTGTGGTATATGTGGTTGCTTGTGGATACTCCTGTGAGTGATGAAGATTGTCATTATCACAGGGAAAGGATGCCTCCTTGGTTTGTTAGGAGCTGTTGTGTGGTTGTTGCCTGCAGCATGTAAGCATAAAGACTCAGCTTGGAGCTTCAAATACTTGTCTTATTCCATTCTACCAGCTGGTGTCAGTTTTAGGCTTGTCCCCAGTTCCTTGATACTGTGTCTCAGTTAGTACCTGATCATTTACTCACTCAGGGAACCAACCATTCCTGTGATGGGAGAGGCGAGTCCCTTCCACTTTCTGAGTTTTCTTCTGTGTTCACAGATAAAAGCTCCTGTCCTTTACTGATTTACAGAGCTGTTTTGAAGATGAAAGAGCATTTACATAAACCGCAAAGTGTTAAAGCAAGGTATTAATGGTTTTGTGGCCCAAATGTGTTGCTGCCTAGATTTCTCCCATTCAGTCCTCTTGAGTCCTGTTGCTTATGTCATATTAGGAGTGGTGAATAGTGATTGCCACTATCACCATCTGAATTGCTGTGAGGATTCTTTTGGATTTCCCAGTTTGATAATGATCTTTTTTTTCTTATCATCCTTTTAGTGATCATCAGGGATCCAGTAAATAAACAGGACCAGTGAGCAACAGGTTCCTGGCTGTGTTTTCACACCACTGGGTTAGGTACCCTGGGAAGGGGTAGTGTGAGGCATTATTAGTGACTTCTGATGTGAGGCAGATTACCAAGTCTTCTGTCTCCTTTCATGGACTTTTATAATTCAGTAGAATGAACAGAAAAGTTGCAAGAACAGTAAATGGCTCATCTATACCCTTGAACCAGAGACCCATTCAAGTTTGTCAGTTGTACCAGTGATGTCATTTATAGCCAAAGGGTCAGGCATATTACTCAGTTGTCATATTTCTCTGGTCTCCTTCACTTGGCTCTGCTTGACTTTTATGACCGCCATATACTTGAGAATTAATGACTACAGATTAGTCATTTTGTAGAATATTACTTAATTTGGGCACGATTGGTGCTTCCTCGTAATTAGAACCCAGGGTATGCATTTTTGGCAGGAATATCACAGAAACAGTGCTGTGTTCTCATTGCATCCTCTCAGGTGGCAGTTGATGTCCGTTTGTGTCATTACTGGTTGATTTTTTACTAGTAATTGATCAAGGTGGTAGTTACCAGGCTTCTTCACAGATGTCATTTTTTTTCTCTCTGTAATTGATAAGTATTTGGGGGAGACACCTTGAGATTGTATAAATATCCTGCACTTCATTCCCATGTCACTCACTAGTTTTAGCATCTGTTGATATTTCTAGTGTGAATTATTATTCCGCCAGTTGCTAAACGGTAATTTTTCTTATTCCATCATTCCTTGTACGTAATTAGTTGACATTCTTCTGCAAAGAATAGTTTTCTCATCTTCCTATTTATTATTCAGTTTATTTATATCAGCATGGACCCATACATTACTATTGTCATCAGTGGGTTATAATCCATTACTATAGTACCTTATTTATTTTTATGGCCAGATTTTCTCAGATTTGGCCAGTGGGAGCCCTTTTAAGCTGGTTTCTATGTCCTTTTGCCATGTTTTTTTTTAATCACTTTTTGGAGAATTTCCTATTTTCTGCTACAGCTAGGCTTATCTTGTGCTTTCCCTGACCCAACCCTGAAGTCACCCATTTCTCCCAGATTCCATGGTTCCTTTTCATAGAGAATGATATTTAGACACTAAGACCTAGACACTAGGTGTGCTCACTGCTACTGGACTAATGCTGCTTCCGGCCTCTCAGTAGACATAGGAAATAAAGTTATGTAAACATATAAAAAATTTATGTGTATTTCTATATCCATTTGTAGATATTGAAAACCATGAATTTATACCATTAGCTTCAATTCACATCCAACACCACTGAATTCATTCTGGTTTTGCACTTTTCATATTTATACCTCTCTTTTTAGCCATTGAGAAATCTGGCTTCTATTGTCTCCAGTATATTTACTTATTTTTTCAGTCCCCATAAAGGGGACTATATAAAGTAGCCAATTTCCTACCCTACTGGGCCAACATTAATTCCTACTCATGTCTTCCTACTGGGTTTTGGACTCTGGAGGAAACAAAAGGAGTGTGGGAGGGAGGAAGGATATTTGTTTCTAGACATTTTGTTAATACTGTTCCATGATTTATTTTAACTTATTTGTTTGGCCTAACAATATGACTATCTGGAATATTTCACATATTATATATATAAACCTGCCTCATTCTTTTTAATAGCTGCTTTCTATTTTACACTTACTGTATATATATATTTTGCACATTTCTATATTGATGGTCATTTAACTGGTTTTTACATTTTCACATTTACAAACAATGATGCATTTCCTTTGTGTACACGTATGAAATTTTTCCTAGATTATTAGAAGTAAAATTGCTAGATTTTAAAGGGTATTTATGTTTGTGTGTATTTTGTGTTGTAAGACTATCCTTACCTGAGAATGAAAATTGTATATATTAAATTTTCATTTAAAAGTTAATAAAGAAATTATGACCTAGATGGAAATGATTTCATTATTACAAGTAGCTCTGAATATGTAACCCGTTTAAAGTTATTTTGTGTAATATGAACATAATTTTCTTCATTATAATGATAATAAAAATATCTCATAATTTTATAGGTCAGTTTGCGGTTCTCACTATCATTTTGGTTAAATTTGATAGGATTTACTGTTTTTATTCTTAGGTTATCCAAATGTGAAACATTTTTCTTGGGATAAATACTTAGAAGAAACCAATTCTTTACCTGCTCCTGCAAGAGCTTTCAAAGTGGTGAGATATTATATTTTACAATATTTGATTAATTTGTGTTGATGATAGTGTTCAGTCATTGAAATTTAAGAACAGAAAGAGTATTGGTGAACAGGAATAGGAGAGAAACAGAAGACCAAAGAAGTTGTTTGTGAATTTTTACAATTTTGAAAGGCAAAATTGTTACTGGGGGTTTTGTTGTTAGCATCTAAAAAATACTTCCATTTTGGACTTTAAAGCCTCCTTGGAAAATAATTATATTTGAATTGGTTTGCAGTGAGTTGGTTGTACAGCACACTTCTGTTTTTCCAGCTAGATATTCTGAAAGACCAAACAGGATGAGATATTGCTTTATAATGAAAATTATATTTGATCATTCCTTTGGGTTTGTTTATGGCAAGCTGAGATGCTGTTTTTTTCTTTTTTTCATTTATTGCTATAAATCAGCATGTTTGACTACCAAAATGCAAGGTCGTCTGTTTTTATAATAGTATCTTTCTAACTCAGGGTCATTGCTTCTTGCATATTAAGATTCAGAGTTAACCTCAGTTGTGTGCAAGGGAAGAATAAGAAATGAAATGTATTTAAAAATTTTTTAAATCTCATACATCTTTATAATTTGTATTTTCCCATGAAGTTAAAGGAAAAGAAAGATATTTTAAATACTTTATTTTTTTAAAAAAATGTGAACAGTCTATCATAAACAACATTTTTCTTTAATGGATCCTTTTGTGCATAAATTTCTAGGATGTTTAATGATAGAATTAATTAGTAGGCATGGATCCAAATAAGAAAAGAACATCAAAATTTTTGAGAGAAAAACTATATTACATGAAGAAAAGCCATATCAAAGAATATGTATGATTCCATCTGAGAGTAAATTCAGGATTTATAAATGAGTAATGTTTAGAGTCATGTCATATTTATGGATTTTACCTGACTCTCTAACTTTAACATAGCCTCGTACAAAGAAGAGCTGCTTTGCACTTTGCTTTGAACTGGAGAAAATTACGTCAAGCTCAGCCTGCATATCTAGTGTCACAGTGATATCAGAGAGAAAATTAAGATTTCTCTCATTTGGCCTTTAGGTACCTTGCATTAATTGTTCTGCATCCTTTACATAATTTTCACACTTGATTTTCACAGTAACACTTTTATTACACGCATTAGCAATCACCTTGCCTTCTGCCCGTAAATTTTTCAGAGGCTGATGGGTTTTTGCTGAGTATTGAGGTGTGGGTAGCTGTAGGTCCTCATTCTCATTCTTGTTCTTAGTAGAGCAATTCCATCTTGCATGTCTTGATTGCTAATTCTCTTCTTAAAAAGGCATCTGTTGCTTTTTGGTCTCACTACCACCTCTAATCTCTGTGTCTCATCTTTGCCACTTGAAGGTTCTTCCCTCTTTTTTAAAAATAATTTTCATGTTTGTTGATTTTTGCCAAGACACCTCCAGCCAATGAGAAGAAACTCGTCATCCCTGTGGCTAATCAAAAAAACCACAGTATTTTGAATTTCATCTTAAGATATTTGGCTTTCTCTTTGCTCCTGTGACTAGTTAGTTGCTCAGGCTGTTGCTATTGCCTGTGGGCTTGGCCATGTGATTTGGGATTATTTTTTCGATAGGGAGAGTGAGGTCCAAAGCCATTCTAGGAACTTGAGTTTGAAAAGCTAGTTCCCTTAATAACTGATCTTTTTTTTTTTTTTTAATTGTGTCTTTGTGATATAGAGCTCACCTTCCCTTCCTCTGAATCTCACTGTATAAAATTTTCTGTTATGGCAGAAACCTCCACATGGATTCCAGAAAAAAATGAAGCTTGAGGTCATAGACAAAAGAAATCCCATGTTTATTAGAGTAGCAACAGTTGCAGACATGGATGATCACCGAATAAAAGTAAGTGTTCTGTTGTGGTTTTGTTTTGTCTTTTTTTTTTTTTTTTTTTTACAAGACATCTTAGACGAAAACTTTAGCAGATAATTAATTTGTGAAGTCTGAGAATTAAAGTAGTAAAGCCATAGAAATATGCAAATTAAGTGGCTGCGCACATCCTTGTGAGTCAGTATTTTTCCACTCTTTTACTTTACATAAGTATTCTCTTTAATTATGACTGACTTTTAATATTTTAAGTATATATTTGGAGGAAAAAAGTAGATACATCATATTAAGGTAATCTATTCAGGAGAAGATATAATACTTCATTTTCCAGTAGCGTGTTCTTTTTAAAAAATATTTAAGGGCAGTGTTTTCTTATGGGGTATAGTGCATGTCGACTTTTCAGAATATCCTGCTTTTTAATATAGAACAAGTTAAGAGAAATATTTTTATAAATAAAGTCAAATTTTATTAGAGTTGGATTAATAAAAGTCAAGTACCTCTCATAAAGTAAACAAACATGTAAGAAGATGGGTTCAGTCCATGTCCAAATGTGGTAAAGTGAAGTGTAGTAGCAGTTCCGGGTGAGGAGCTTCAGGCTCTCATCTGTTTCTGGCTTCAGCGTTAACTTCACTCTCAAACCAGAATGATGTGCATTCTACTTACCTCACAGGATCATTTAGAATTTCTGTTAAGAATAATACTAGTTATGAGAGCAGCAAGACATTAGATTTACATGGAGTTTTACAGGGTAGGAGTATTCTTCCATTATCTGATATTTGTGGTGATAGCAGTGTGGGAGATTTATGTTACTGTCATTGCTTGATCAATGAGGCTGAGGCGCAGAATAAATTACTTATTAATTATGGGCAGTGGCAGAACTAAGTCACGGTCCTAAGCTATAGGAGTCTAAGTTCATGTTCTTTAAATAATAATAAATCAGATCTTCATGTATCTCTAATGAGATAATATATAGGAAAATAAATTATAAAATAACATGAAAAACCTGTACAAAGGTAGTATTTCCATAAAAGAGAACTTTTAGCATTTAATTCACTGTTTTTAAGATTGCATAATCATATAACATTTTAGAAAATTTTATAAGTAGTGGACGACCTGCGTTAATCTTTTTCAAGTGTGTTTTCTTGTTAGTTTTCCTTAGAAATGTAGAATTAAGTAATACATTATTTTTATAAATCAAATTGGTCAGAATTGAAAACAAAAAAGTGTTTTGGCTTGGGTGCAGAAAGTTTATTCCCATATACAGCTGGTGAAAGTATAAAGTGTCTCAGCCTTTCTGGAGAGCAGTTTGGTGATAGGCATCAAAAGTCTTAGAATGTTGTTTATCCTTTAATTCAGGAATTTCAGTCCTAGGAATTTATGTTAAAGATATAACCAAAAGGAATATGCAAAGATAAAAGCTGCAAGGAGGATGTAACAGAGCCAGTGGTTTATGGTATTTAGCACTGAGAATAAGCAGAGTGGGAGATGGGTAAAAATAAATGACTCTACGTCTACATGCTGTTTCATATTTTAGAAGAATATTTAATTTTGGCAAGTGAGAAATTCAGGTTTAATACTATATATAATGTCTGGTATTGTCTTTTAAAAGAATATATATATGTATGTGTGTGTATATATATATGTATGTATGTGTATATATGTGTGTGTGTGTGTACACACACACACACACACACACACACACACACACATAAGCAGTTATGGAAATAAAGCAAAATAATGACAGTGATTTTCTGTTAAGATTATACATGATTAGGTTTTTCTTTTTAATTACCAGGTTTCAGGAACACATATTACTTTTGTGATTTTGGTCCAGAGGAGTCAAATGCTCTAAAGTGGATGGTTCAGTTAGTTAATGAGAAAACTTTAGACTAGAAATCCAGCTCTTTTTGCTTCTGGCTGAATTCTCTTTCCAGTACAACATCAGGTCAGTCTTTAATATACAAAAAAGAACTGGCTAGTGAGGTATATAGTTGACAATCATCTTTTATAATACTGGAATGAATTTCATAGCTAAACATAAACCGGTGGACAAATATCTGTTTTTTTATGAGGTCCACAAAAGGTTAGTGAACAGGTGACAGTAACTCAATTTGAGGATTCATCAGAGACTTGTGAAAATACAGAACGCTTTCAACAGTAGAAGTTTTTCTAATAATATGGGAGATGATATAGCAAGAACTCTTATTTTTTCTTTTTCAGGAAGGACAAGAAAGCAGAAAATAGAGACGAAGTCATTAGTGTAGTGTAAAAAATAGTTTAAGTTTCTCAAGGATAAAAATCAACTCTTAAGTTAAATAAAATCAACTTTTTAAGTTATGTAATACATAATATTTCACACTGAGTTATTACAGTTAAATTTTTTTAAACCTGGTATATTTTGCTGTTGAAGAAAAATGACAAGAATATTTCTGCTCTTGTCTTTTATGTTTTCGTGACAGAATGTAAGATTGTTCTGCCCTCTCCATCCCCACCGCCAGGTCTGGTTCCCCAGAGGCAAGAACTTTCAACTCTTTTGGCTGTTGCTTATGACATTAGATCGGCAGTTTAAAAAAATAATAGCTGCATTCTGCTACTTCTGAATACATCAATTTTAAATATATTTATTTCCTTCCTGTTTTGGTAGTTCAGGATTTAGATCTTGTCATCCTTCCCTTCCGCTTATCCTTTCAGTAATTATTTCACAGTGTTTGTTCTTTTTTTTTTCACTCTTCCACGTTTACTGTTGTAAACAAATCTTGTTCACTGCTGAGCAAAGGAGTCTTTTTCTTATGATACTTTGTTTTTCCTAGAGTCAGTAATTAATTTGTATTTTGATTTTAAATTGTCTGTGTTCTTACTAGATTTTAACAAATGCTCCAATAAATCTGACAAGTCTTTTGGTCAAAAAGCTCAAGTGGGGCTTCCCTGGTGGCGCAGTGGTTGAGAGTCCGCCTGCCGATGCAGGGGACGTAGGTTCGTGCCCCGGTCTGGGAAGATCCCACGTGCCGCGGAGCGGCTGGGCCCGTGAGCCACGGCCGCTGAGGCTGCGCGTCCGGAGCCTGTGCTCCGCAGCAGGAGAGGCCACAACAGTGAGAGGCCCGCGTACCGCAAAAAAAAAAAAAAAAAAAGCCCAAGTGTATTTTTGAATCTTGCGTCTATATCTTTCTTTTTTTCCTGAACCCTTCTTCCCACAGCTTAACAGCCACCTATTCTGATCAGCGTGGTTACCCTCTCAGCCTCACACGCAGCATCCATCCCGAGACTCCTCTTTGCTAACACGCTATATTGTATATTCATTTTTCCTGAGTCTCATGCTTTATACTTCTTTGTATACTCTCTTACCTTGCTGAAACCCATCTTTTGTAACTTTCTGAGGAAGGGTGTATGAAAGGCATATTTTTCGACTCTTTGCATACCTGAAAATGTCAGTATACTAGCCTTTCACTTGATTCATACTGTGATGGGGTAGAGAATCATTTCCCCTCAGAAACTACAAGCATTGTTCTGCTGTCTTCCCACGTCAGGTGTTAGTTTTTGAGACATCCAAGGCCACTGGGTTCCTTCTTTCTGGGTGATGTACCTTTTCTCTCTGGAAACTCTCAAGACCACTTTGTCCCTGATATTCTGATGTTTTGTGGTGACGTGCCTTGTTGTGAGGGTCTTTTTTCATTTATCATGCAGGGCACTAATACCCTTTCACTGTGGAGTTTCATATCCTTTGGTTTTTAGAAATGTTCTTACATTATTGCTTTGATGACTTCCTTCTCTCTCACTGTTCTCCTTTGCAAGTCCTGCTGCACTCTGGTATTAAACCTCTGGGATGGACCCCCTATTTTTCTTATATTTTCTTTCTTATGCCTCTCTGATTTTTTTTTCTACTTGCTTAGAGATATGCACTCTATTTTTAAATCCTGTATTGCATTTTTAATTACAACTATGTTTTTTTTAATTTTCAAGAGTTTTTTCTTATTTTCTAGTCTTCTCCCTTCCCCCCTTTCAAAACGGCATCCTCTTTTTATTTCCTGAAGCAATATTGTTTCTTATCTGAGGACACCAGTGATAGTTTTCCTTCTGTTGCCTTTTATTTTCTCTAAATTCCTCTTTGAGTTAGTTTGGCTTCTGCTTTCACATTAGAGCCTCTCTTCAAATGTCAAGTCCTTGGTTGGCTGTTCACAGTAAGAAAAGGCGCTTAACATTAGTTGTTTTTAGTCAGTAAGGTGGGCTTTATTGGCTTTTGGGCTTCATGTGGGAAAAGAGAGCAGAGAGCCAGCTTTTCATAGGGAGGTCCCCATTCTTCAGCGTCTGGATTCTTGGTCTAGAGCCTTTCCAGTTTCTTCTAGTCTCCTCCCTAGGGAGGGGCAGACTTGGTGGCCGCTGTGTGAGGCAGGGAGGAGGATGGGGTTGGAGGATACAGGCTCTCACTCGGTCCATGTGCTTTCTGTCCTGCCTGTCACCATTGTCCTGGAGTTTAAAACCTCCATGCTTATGTCTCTAGAAAGTAAACCTCTACTCTTTCCGGGTTGCTGAAGGGGCAGTTCCTTTGGTGGGTGGCATAGAGGATCAGACCTGGAGGTCTAACCACTCCATATTCGGAGTCTGAGCCAATCCTGTCGTTTTCCAGACCTCCTCACATACCTGCTGCCTCCATATTGAGTTCTTCTGGGTTCTGCAGTGTGAGCCAGTTCACTCTGGGCCTGCATTCCCTCTCTAGGCATCTGGGTTGCAACCCACCCACTCTCTACCAGTGGGGCAGCACTCCCTCCTCTGCTTCTGCCCTCCACATGCATCATTGCCACTCCTCACCTATCAGCTACTTTCCTTCTCCATTTGTCCTTCTGGGTTTATACCTTTTCAAACATAACTTTCATTTCAGAAGAGAGCAGAAATAAGCACCTGGGTCTAAAATGTGTTTTACTGAGTTGCCTTTCACCTGAACAGAAAATACAACCAAATCATTTTTTAAAAAAAGAAATAGTGTGCTTTCTAAAAATAGTATCTGTCTTAATCTTGAAATTTTCAGTTACGAGTATTAAGTTTTCATAAAGGGTCCAAATTATACTCCTAGGTTAAAAAATGTGTTCAGTTTTCTAAACTGTAATTTTAAATATGTGCAAGTTAAATCATCTGTACTATGCTTTGATACATAATAGTCGATTTTCTTTAGAATTTTAATTAAATTCAGCCTTGTCACTGAGTTGCTTTTATGTTTAACTGTTTTTATACTGGGACATTTCTATTATAAATATTTTTGGATGTCTTTTTATGTTCTGTACAATGTTTAAATATTTCGTGTTGTGCGTTTATGTATCTTCCTCTCTTGCTCTTTGTCAGGCATTTGATTTCATTTCAAAACAGGACCCAGCAAGAGAAAAGCTGTCAGTTACCATTACTAGAGTGTCTGATTTTTTGTTTGTTTACAGCCTCTTAATGTGCCAGGGACTGAAGTAGCAAAGATGAAATGAAATTATATGAACTTTAATAAATTTATTTCATCTGGGCTTCCAGAGTAAGAATATTAATTAGGGTTAATATTAATTTTGTGTATATTATTAATGTTCACATTATTTCAGATAGCAGTTTTTTAATTGAAGTATACTCAACTTACAATATTTTATTAGTTTCAGGTGTACAGTGTAGTGATTCAGTATTTTTGCAGATTATACTCCATTAAAAGTTATTATAAGTAATGGCTATAATTCCCTGTGCTGTACAATATATCCTTGTTGCTTATCTATTTTATACATAGTAGTTTGCATCTGTTAATCACATACCCCTAATTTGTTCTTTCCCCCTTCTCTCTTCCCCTCTGGTAACCACTAGTTTGTTTTCTATATCTGTGGGTCTCTTTCTGTTTCGCATATGTATTCATTTGTATTATTTTTTAGATTCCACATATAAATGATTAGGTAGCGGTTTTTAAGTGCATTTGCTACTTAGGGAATTGTATTGTTACCTCTGTTCATAATATCTAAATTAAATTTTAACTCTGAAATTTAACCTTAAAGTACTAGGATTCTCCCGATTGCTGGCCAACCTAGTTTGTAGATGTTAGACTTATTTACAGTAACTAAGGTATATCTGTCATCTAAGATAGATGACTTTTCATTGCCAAACTGAGAGGTCAGTTTTAATGAAAAGTAGGAAGGGGTTATGGTATCACCAGATATAGTAGCTCCAACACATTCTTGAAGGTATATGGGAGGAAATTTTTTAAAGAACCCTATTATTTATGATGATATTAAGATTTTTGGAGTCTATATTGCTGTACAGTGGTGTCCCGTTTAGTGTCAGTGGGACTCAATTCTGAGTGCACAGCAGAGTTACTTAGAAGTTAAGTAAACATACAGGTGCACAGAACCCAAGCTATAAGTTCAGAACCTCCTTGGTGGGCTCAGCCATTTTTTTTTTTTTTCTTCTTTTCAATAATCATGAGTAATTCTAGTGTATATCCAGGTTGGAGAGCCACTTACTTGTTAGGATTGAGTTTGTTTGCTATAGGAAGATAGCTAAATTTTGTAAAATTTAACAAATGGGACATGAGATATGGGAACATTGCTTCCAGTATAGAAGAAGTGAAATTCAGGAATAGCAAGATGAGAAAACGTAAGAGTTTCGTGTATCCAGTAAAATAGAGCATTATCACTTGAAGATTAGTTGAGAATTAGAATGCTTAAAACTTAACTATAATGCTGTGAATTATGACTGCTCATTTATTGGTGGCATTGATAGCATAAACTTTAGAAAATTACCATGAATATCATTCTGTGTTATTTGAACATTATTTTTGATCAGAGGAAAGGAAAGGGTTGTTTCAAGTTAAACAACTTTCTTTAAGTGCTGCTTTTATATGCCATGTATGTGAATGATGAACAAGTTTATTTTGGATCCATGAATTTTAGCCTCTTGCTCCTCCTAACTAGCTCTGTGATCTTTTCTCCTCTTTGAAATATTATCCATGATTTCTTGCAGGTGTGGAATTCTGTGGGATTTAATTCTAGGATTAATTAATTTCTAAGCTTGAGAAAGTGGAGTCATTGCAATGGACATTATATTGAACCCATATATACATACCTTAATAACTCTGTACTGTTCCATCGTATAAATATACGTAATTTATTTAACCAGTCTCCTGATGGTAGACACTCCGGTTGCTTTCTACTACAACGAGTTGAGTTATTTAGATTATCAAGTCAAAGATGATATATTTTAAGTGTTGATCCATTATTGCCAAATAACTCTCCAGAAATATCTCACCAGTCAAGACTCCTGTCAGTGGTCTGTGAGAACCTCCATTTATTCTCATACTTATCAGCTCTAGAAGTCACCAAAATGGAATATTTTGGCAGGTTGAAAGGCGAAGAATTTCATCCTGTGATTTTAATTTGTAGTTTTTTAGTTATAAGTGAAATTGATTGTCTTTTCACGTGTTTACTAACAATTTATTTTCTTGTTTATGAGCCACTTGTATCTTTTCCATCTTTTCTGTTGGATTTTTCATCTTTTTATACTGATATATGGTGATTTTACAAATTAAGGAACGAAGTACATTGTCACATGTTAACAGATGGGTTTTTCAGGTATCTTTTGGGTTTTCCATCTTGCCAGCAGTAATATTTGCCATTGTGAATATTTAAATTTTGATGTACTCGAATTGATGCCTCTTTTCTTTTATGGCTTTTGAGTTTGGTGTCTTGCTTACAAAGGCTACTGCACTCTAAGATAAATATATTAATGTATGCTTTCTTCTAGAACTTTTATTGTTCAGTTTTCAGTGTTCGGATTTTTGCATCCATCTGGCATCTATTGTGTTTTTAGTAGTAAGAGATTCATAGACTTTAAGAAGGAAATCTAGCTGGCAAACTTGATCTAAAATAAAATATATATAACATTTTAGTATATCCTTTCCTTCTCAAAGATAAAAAATATGTGATACTTGAAAGATATGTAGCTGATCCTTAGTAACCATGCCTGAAAGACTAACTGCCCTTTTACATGGTGGCCAATAAAGTTGGTAGCCCTGACCACTCTGTAAAATCTCTTTGAGAGATATTGTAGTTATTTATAAGAAAAAATATTTTTAAATGCATTTGATGGAGGCATATCTTGTAAATTGTGTGTCCATCTGCTGAATTTTTTTAAGGTTTCTTTAGCATAATTCTAGGAGACTTGACATATATATGAAAGGTCCTGCCTCTCTACTCTCCCTCCTCCTCCCTCCCTTCCCTGATATATTCATTACTCAATAATATTGATTGGGTGTTTAGTGTTGCTCATATGAAGATGTTAGGTACTCAAACTGCTTATAGTAGTGGGAGATACATGTAATATGTCTGTAGAAGTATTACCCAAAAAGTGCCCTTGGCAAGACATTTAATTATGGTTAGATAATGTAGTTCAACAGTACCTCTTTTTTGTTGTTGTTGTTGTTGTTGTTGTTGTACGCGGGCCTCTCACTGTTGTGGCCTCTCCCGTCGTGGAGCACAGGCTCCAGACGTGCAGGCTCAGCGGCCATGCCTCATGGGCCCAGCCGCTCCGCGGCACGTGGGATCTTCCCGGACCGGGGCACGAACCCACATCCCCTGCATCGGCAGGTGGATTTTCAACCACTGCGCCACCAGGGAAGCCCCAACAGTACCTCTTTTCTCATACTAGGATGAAGTAATTTGAATAATTAAAATAATTTATCTGGATATTAAATGTACTAAATAAGTTAGAAGAGAATGAAGATGGTTATGGTGGGCAAAACTTTTACTGTAGGAATTCTCGTGACCTAAATTATACTATTAATTTCTTTTTGTTATCCAGGTTCACTTTGATGGCTGGAATAGTTGCTATGATTACTGGATAGATGCAGATTCTCCTGATATTCACCCCGTCGGTTGGTGTTCAAAAACCGGGCATCCTCTTCAGCCTCCTTTGAGTAAGAGACACAGTGATAACCTAAAGAAATGTTCCCATTTTCTTGCGTAGTGTGCTTAATATTTTCTTTTCCTCTACCTTCTCGTTCTATTGGGTTGGCCAAAAAGTGCCTTCAGTTTTTAAGTAAAAATAAAAGACACATTTTTTCATTTTCACCAAGAACTTAATTGACAACGTATTCACCCTTTTTTTCCACTACCTTCTGCCATTTTTCAGGCAACTTTGTAATTCAGTCTTCCCAAAACTTAATTATCTTTTTGAGCAAAGAACTGTTTAGGTGCCTTTTACAGTCTTCCAGTGAATTGAAATTTTTTCCATTAAGAGAATTTTGTAAAGACCTAAAAAATGGAAATCCGAAGGTGCAATGTCTGGTGAAACCAGCAGATGAATCAGAACTTCCCAGCCAAGCTGTAACAGTTTTTGCCCGGTCATCAAAGAAACATGCAGTCTTGTGTTATCCTGATGGAAGATTATGTGTTTTCTGTTGACTAATTCTGGACGCTTTTCATCGAGTGCTGCTTTCATTTGGTCTGATTGCGGGCAGTACTTGTTGAAATTAATCATTTGGTTTTCCAGAAGGAGCTCATAATAGAGGACTCCCTTCTAGTCCCACCATATATACATCACCTTCTTTGGATGAAGACTGGCCCTTGGTGTGGTTGGTGGTGGTTCATTTCACTTGCCCCACGATCTCTTCTGTTCCACATTATTGTACAGTATCCACTTTTCATTGCCTATCACAGTTTGTTTTAAAAATGGAATGTTTTCATTACGTTTAAGAAGAGAACCACATGCAGAAATATGGTCAAGAAGGTTTTTTTCGCTTAACTTATGTGGAACCCATACATCAAAGCGATAAACATAACCAAGTTGCTGCAAATGATTTTCAATGCTTGATTAGATATTTGATATTTTGGGTATGTCAGCTATCTCCCACCTGGTATAATGTTGATTGTCCTCAATTAATGTCTCGATTTGATCGCTGTCAGCTTCAGCTGGTCTCATGGAGCATCGTCCAGTGAGAAATCTCCAGCCCGAAACTTTGCAAACCGTTTTTGACGTGTTCGATCAGTCACAGCACTTTCTCCATACACTGCACAAATCTTTTTCTGCATTTTGGCTGCGCTTTACCTTTCCTGAAATAATAAAGCATAATATGCCAAAAATGTTGCTTTTTTTCTTCCATCTTCAGTATTAAAATGGCTACACAAAAATTCACCAATTCTGATAAGTCTTTTTTTAAATGCATGCTAATATGACAGCTGTTACATAAAATCTAACAAAATTGTTTTGAAATAAGTTAAAGACAACTAAGTACTGCTAGAGCCATCTTATGGGAAAAACCAAACAAACCTTTTGGCCAACCCAATGACTTCTCTACTGTACATTTCTTCTTTGGTTAATCCTTTTGCCTCTTACTGCATTTTTAGTTACCTGATAGTCAAAAATACATAAAAGAAAAAATTTAATATTTGAAAAAGTAAAGTGTTTCTAGACTTTTATTTAACAGTATCATCATCTTTTAAAACTAGTACTGAATTTTGGAAGACAATTTGTCAGACTATCAAAATTTAATGTATCAATGTCAATATCCTAAAAGTGATTTTATCTTGTAGTTTTGCAGAATAGTACCATTGGGAAAAACTGGGCAAAGTGTACAAGGGATCTCCCTGTGTATTATTACTTAAAACTGCATGCGAAGCTACAGTCACCTCAATAAAAATTTCAGTTAACTTCAATTTTTTAAAAAAGGTACACTGAGAACTTGACATACCAGATCTCAGTTTTGGAGGAAAATAAATACATTGTAGAAAGAAAAATGTAGCAAATACATTATTGTCGGGTTTCTTAAAAAAATTGAACATGCCTTCCCCACCTGGTGGCTTCACTTCTGGATGCCACATAGAAGCTACATAAGGGCACCAGAATACACAGACATGGTATCGGTTACAGTATGTTTAAAATAATAAACCTTGGAAACAAATATTGGTTAAATAAATTATGGTGCACTCATGCTACAGCTACAGTGCAACAGTCATAAAAATATTACTATCGAGAAGGAAAGATTTATAAGACATGAAGTTAAAGACCAAAGAAGAATGTTTCAGAATCGTACATATCTATGTTGTGCCTTTTATGTGGCAAAATAAAACAAAACCAAAAACTTGATACATGTATATATACAAATATAGATACATGTGGGAATGCTTGGAACATCTAGGAAGGTTACACATTAACATGATTAGTCAGGAAAAGGAATGAAATGTGAGGAGAGTTGCTTGAGGGGATCTGTAACTGTTCTTCTGTATTCTGGTGTATTCTCTGAAGTTTTCACGGTGTGCAGGTATTCATATATTAATTATGTTATTTACTTGATCAAAATGTTCAGAACCATCTCATTATTTTAGATTTCGGTATCTCTGGAATTTGTGACATTTTGAAAGAGGGTTGGATCAAAGGTTACCATTTCACTGTTGAAGTGTGAGCAAAGTCCTAGGGGAAAACCTTTAGAAGTAGAGACTTTAGACATATTTTTAATTTTGTAGGACCTTCTTTTTCTGTTTATACATGTTGATTGAAAAATTGGATTTTTTTCCCTATTCTGATCCAAGACATTTGACTCTTGTAGCCTTAAATTTTTGCTTTTTTTTTTTTTGGCTTTTTAATAGGCCCCTTAGAATTAATGGAAGCCTCGGAACACGGTGGATGCTCAACCCCAGGATGTAAAGGGATTGGCCATTTTAAGAAAGCAAGACACCTGGGCCCTCACAGGTATGTGGTGCTGCCACTCAGGTGGAGATTCCTTATGTGGTCGGAGGAGGGTGCCTGTCCCTTGAATGTGGAAGATAATGATTTCCATGTATACTAAATAGATACGAGCTAATTCTGCATTCGGATCCATATGAAATGTGGTTACCATGGTGACCATGTAAAACTGAAGCATGTATCTGTAGTTAAATTTGCCTGGGAAAGAATGCGTTCATGATTTAAAATAGATTCACTCTAGGTACTTGGCTTTTCTTGGCAACCTGATTAGTTTTATAGATACTGAACTTCTGAGATAGTCATTTTGGGTTGATTATTAATAATGAGAAAGGGGCGGGCCTTGTTGAAAGTATTTGGTAGAATATTCTATGATTGGGTGACTCAACAATTTGAATAACGAGAGGTGAGATTATTGTAGATTAGCAGCAAAGATCACAAAAGGCACAAATATAAATAGACAAACATCAGAATACATTGTCAACAATAAAGTTTTTCAATATTTTTCTCTCACATCTAAGTAACTTAAAAGAAAGAAACTAAATTTGAACAGTTGAAATTTGATGTATTGTTTAGGCAATTTGGGGTCTTTGTAGACACGTTAAAATATTACTGAAATAGTAAGAAACGTCTGTGATTTAACTGGGATTTTTAGAGGACAGAGGCATCACCTAATTCACGTACACATTAGAATAATAATTTGTCGGTATAAGTATTCTAACTGTATGTTAATTGGATGGCCCAGTAGTAATAATGATTCCTTGTTTACCTAGTTTATACAGGTTGTGAATCTAGGTCTTTAAAAAATCTGAAGATTTCACTACCTGTTCCTCTAAGAATTAATAGGAATTGTTAAATTGGTGTGATTATTTTATCTTTATATAATTTCCTCTTTCTTAAATCTCTGCAGCCTCAAATGCTGCTTATCTTCCTTTTGCAACACTCCTGACAAGTTTTGTTTTTTGTTTGGTTTTTTTTTTTTTGCGGTACGCGGGCCTCTCACTGTTGTGGCCTCTCCTGTTGCGGAGCACAGGCTCCGGACGCGCAGGCTCAGCGGCCATGGCTCACTGACCCAGCCGCTCCGCGGCATGTGGGAACTTCCTGGACCGGGACATGAACCCGTGTCCCCTGCACCGGCAGGCGGACTCTCAACCACTGTGCCACCAGGGAAGCCCATGCCAAGTTTTTTTATGGGGTTCAGTGTGTTCCAGAGTAAAAGTCTGTGCATAGACAGCATAATGATTCCATTTGCAAATATCCATTTAAAAATCCTTTTCATGGCTTATGAGACTGCAAACCAAAAGCTGTATGATTAAAGGGGCATTAAAAATACTGCATCTTAGAAGTAATTCAGTATTGGCAAGTGAAAGCAGCTGGATTACTTTTAGGCATTACAGTAGTATCTCCCTTACCCCCCTTATCCCTGTGGGAGATATGTTCCAAGATCCCCAGTGGATGCCTGAAACCTCAGATAGTACCGAACCCTATATGTACTATGTTTTTTCCTATACATACATACCTGTGATAAAATTTAATTTATAAATTAGGCAGAGTAAGAGATTGGCAACAATAATAATAAAATAGAACAATTATAACAATATATTATATTAAAAGTTATGTGAATGTGGTCTCTCTCTCTCTAAATATCTCATTGTACAAATTTAATGCCTTTTCCATTTTAACTCAATGCTTATTATACACTAACTTTCGCAGTTTGAGGTGTGACAGCAGTACTAACACAAATTTCTTTTTCTTTCTTCAAAATTTCACAGAAGATTTGTTCTTACTGTAGAGTTTAGCAGCCTCAGTGTATGATTTTTTTCTTCATGAAGTCGAGAACTGTCACTTTTTCACCTAAGGAAGCACTTCACGGCTTCTCTTTGGTGTACCTGGATTGCCAGCATCACTACTGTTGCACTTTGGGCTGTTACTAAGTACAGTAAGGGTGACTTAACACAAGCCCTGTGATACCTCAACAGTGGATCTGATAACCTAGGTGGCTACTAAGTGATTAACAGGCGGGATACACTGGACTAAGGGGTGATTTGCTCCCTGGCAGGTCAGAGTAGGACAGCGTGAGATTTTGTCACGCTACTCAGAATGGCACACAGTTTAAAACCTATGAATTGTTTATTTTTGGAATTTTTCATTTAATATTTTCGTACCTTGGTTGACCTCAGATAAGTGAAACCACAGAAAGCAAAACCATGGATAGGGAGTGACTGCTGTATATAAGTCCAAAAACTCATTAGTATGCTAAATTCCCATTATATATCTATAAATTCTTTCATTTAGTAAATATTTTTGAGCAGTGGGTTTTTTTTTTTTAGTAAGATTTATTGAGCATTTGTTTACTCTCTCTGAGCTTTGCACTAATTGTTTTACATGTATTGGATAACCTTCAAGCGACCCTATAATACAGAACTATTATTTCCTCCATTTTTTTGATGAAGCCACCACGGCACTCTAGAGGTTTTTCTAACTTGCCCATTTGACTGCTGGTGAGGCGGGAGCCAGGAATGGTGCCCAGTCTAACTGTGCCCTTGACCACCCCCCTCTCACTGACTCTCAGGGCACGGCTCCCTGAATTAGTCACAGATCCAGCCTTCAAAGAACTCAGTGACTAATGGACCTATAAAAGCTGTACATAATTTTATTAAAATATAAGATACAAAATAGTAACTAATATTGAAACTTTGACATATGTACCTCTCTACTGTACAACCCCAAGATGTTCATTGAACCAAAGGCAATTTGCTCCAATTATGAAGGAAAAAAAGAAATCTTAAAAATGGGTGAATACTGACATTATGTTTTTGGGGGTACAATGAAAAATTTACAAAGAATTTTTTTTTTTTTTTGGTCTTCTGGGAAGAAAATCCACCTTGTAACAATGTTCATAATCTCTTTAGGAGTGCTGTAGGTCTGAGCAGAGAGGTTTGCCTGTCACAGCAAGGTCTGTGGTGACAGTCCTGATGGCACCAGCCATTCATTAAGACTGCCTTTCCCTAAGTGTGCTGTGGACCTCTGAGGGTCCTTCACCTGGTCCACACCCATTTCACAAAGTTTCAGTGACTGTCTCTGGAATCTTTTTTCAAAGATGCAGTGTTGTATTTGCTGAATGAAGGGAGAAATTATGGGGAGAATCATGAAAGATGTTATGGAGAAATGTGATCCAAAAAAAAAAAGATCTATCAGTATAATTGGAACCATAGTGGAGAATGACTCATTGTTTTCTGGAGTGACAGAGGAATAAGTATACCTCATGGCTTAGAAGCCATGCATTGATAAAGAAGTTGTATTCATTGTGTTCATTTCCTTGTCACGTATCAGACATAACCGGCAGATCTGTATATAACTCTGGGGCAGGGATGCGATCCAGAGAACTAGTGTCAGCTCCTGCCTGTGTCCTATATTCCCTTCTTTTCAGCCCTCTCAGCTGCCTTTTCTTAGTCTCCCTGAATATGCTGTTCTCTTTTCAGCACTCAGAGCTCTTTATCTGGCGGGATATTAATCCTTACCAGTCACAGCCTGTTTTCCATTTCCTTGGTAGACTTGCAGAAGAGCTGCTGCATCATGGCTGTTCTTTAAAAGGTTCATTTCACTGGCGCTTATTTTTGTCCTTACTGAGAATGCTGTGCTTAGGAAAACAACGAGAAAATTCTGCTTGGATTAATCTACTGAGAAACCACATAAATCAAAACATGCATTCTTTGCTTAGATAACAAGGAAAGTTGCTCTTTTGGCACGAATAATCAATTTTATGAACATGTAAGCAAAAGCCTGTGTTTTGACTAGCATGTGTTGTTAGAGTCTCCAGAAATTACAATAGTTGAATTTGATCTAAGAAGTGTTAGAAACAGAAATGTGTTCTCAACAATGAAATGTAAGAATGTGATGTTTTTCAATGTTGAAATGTAAACAATCAGTGAGTGAGTTGGATGTGGATATGGTGTTCTCATTTCTAGGGATGTTCAGGAGCCAGATGACTTAATTCTGTCTCTAGCAAGGCAGCATTAATATTGGTTGTGTCATGGTGTTTCCCTTTGTTGATTCATTCATTTGGCCTACCGAGAGGTCATAATGGGAGGAGATAAAAGGGTAACTAAAGTTATATAAAACTAAATGTTCTACATATCTAATGCCTTCGGAAGTAAATGTTTCCTGATGCGAGGTTTATCTTGGTGAAATTAAATAAGAAAAGAAAAAAACAGAGAGTACTTCCTGCAACCTTAAAGGATGTTTATAAAGTCCATGGAGAGTTTTAAAAAATTAGTAACTCTGGATTTATACCTGCAAACTGTAGTCATCATGTTCATTCAACATCCATCCATTCGTGGAACGAACACTTACTGAGTGTCTGCTGTATGCAGATACTGGGTTAGGTGATGGGCTGCACAGAGGAGAGGGCCCCTACTTCTAAGGAGAGCAGTGTGGTACAAACAGAATTTTGGAGAGGCGTGAATGAGTATCGACTTTTCCTGAGGGAAGCAGAGAGCCTCCGTGAATGGGGCGTAGTTCGGAGTTTTTAATGCTGTTGTTGACTTTTGCTGGTGGTCTCTTGCACAGCAGGGGTTAAGTGTTACTCTTCTTTTAAAATAATAATCCTAGGCTAGATTTTTTTTGTGGCTTCCTATTTGTGAGGCACTTAGATCTGTTATCTCATGTAATTCTCTCAGCAGTTCTATAAAGCTGGCACTGTTCTAATCTCTGTTTTACAGAAGTGGGAGGAGAGATTTAGAATGCTTGAGAAAGTGCCCAGGATCAGAGAGTGGCAGACCTGGGATTCAGCCCAGGCTTTTTTTTTTTTTTTTTTTTGCG